ACAGCTGGTCAGTGGTGTACTGTAGAGCTGAGGGGGATTCTTATTTAAACTGAGGACAAAGCTTTGAAAAAGAGATGATCTTAGAACTCATTTTGTGCCTCATAACCCAGAGTATACTGCTGCATACGGTTTATCAAATCCTCATAAATCAGAGGCTACAACTTCAAACTATACCGACTGTTTTGGCACTTGAATGTTGGCGTCAGCAAAAATTAGTAGATCAAAGTAGCTGCAGATGTGTAACACAGAGCTTCAACATTTCTTGTCATGTAGATTCGGCTTTTGATTTCCTCCCCTGAATCCTGGAGTCGTTTTTTTTTTTGGTAACACAAACTGAAGTGATTTTTATAGATTTGACTCGCCGAATTCTTGAGGGTTGTGTTACAGCGTCTCAACGCTTTCCATTCATTTCCTATGGAGAGCCGGAGAGGCAGTCGCGCAATGCATTATGGGATCTTTGCGGCGCGTCTCGAGGAGGGCTCTGGCGCTCGCCGGGCAAATTAGACCTGAAGTCTATATTCTGTGCAAATGAGCACAGCGACGGCCAAACTATCTATCCAATCAGGTGCACTCATTGAGGCTACTTCACCAATTGTGCAACCTGCAGCTAAAAGGAGGCAAAACAAAATAAAATAATATGCCAACCGCCAAATATGATACAGAGGTTACACCTGTGTGACATTCAGATCAAAGGTGAAACGCCAAAGAGCCGATTTTATCAGGGCTTTAAACGACAGTCTGAATGAAGCTTTAAAAATGTGACTTTTTCCCCGTATCATTTTTTAACCCATCAAAATATCACTTTTGGTTCGACTACTTGTGTCCAAAAATAACGTCTAACGAGGGATAACAAAACTTTTCAAATTTTCAAAACCCAATTAAGTAATGAGCAACAGACTTTATTCAGTATCTCCTTCAGGTTGTTTCCCAGAAGAACCCTAAATAAATCACTTCTACGTCTCCGTCACATACAGAATGTGTGGGACACGTCTCATGGGAATTTCAGGACGCAGCTGGGAACGCCGGGCGAGCGATCCCACCAAACGTGTTTTCCCAGTGGTCTCTCTGTCAGTCGCATGAGGCCGCACAGAGCCCACCAGAAGCTATTTTCTTCCCTTGTTCCTAAAAAAAAGAAAGAGTGGGAGAAGTTAAATAATGGCCTCCTCCAGTCCCTTCCCATGTAACAGCATCACAGCGTCTGCATGGTAACGTAATTACACACCATACTGTATATCACAGAGCAACCCACACAGTGAGGGGACGTTTATTTTAGTACGCAGCTGATAATTCTCCAAACTCAACAAGCAAGTGATTCTGTTTAGCTGAATGGGAAGTATAGAGGAAGGCAGAATGAGTCAGGGGCCAAATTAACACAACAACAACAACATTCCCCAGGGCGGAAACTTTCAAGAGCCCCTCCAGAAGTCTGCTGCCCACCAAACCCACCAACACTACCACAGCATCAGAGGAGGGGGATGCAGTGGTACTGTGGGAAAAAAAACTGCTGTGACACCAGCAGAGAGGCTAAAGTAGAACGAGATCTAACATGATTTTTTGCTTTAAATTTACTCTAAAGATCTCTGGCCCCTGGGCAATTGCCCTCATGGTTAATCCGGCCTTGCTTAATTTACACACTTATTATTAAAATCAATCCACCTCATGCTGTGATGCAGTTTGGAGGAAGTTATGGAGATATATTCTGTCAGAGTGAATCATTTTTTTTATTTGATATCTCAGTATTTGTGGACAGTGAACGATTATCTGAGTCTTAAAAAAAGACCACTGTAAGGCTTTTCTGTTATCTCTCTCTCTCTTTGATGATAGCATCCTGTTTCTTATCTTTTCTCTTTTCCAGCGTTTTTTGATCCGCCTTGTTTCTGGACGCTTCTTCGCTAACGTGAGATAAAATGCCCTGGCCATCTGAAAAACTCTTTTTTTGTGTTATCTATAAAGTAGCCCTTAGATCATCATTTCAAGAGAGAACAGAGGAAAAGTAGATGTTCTGATATCACCCTAAATCATTTCACTTGGAGTGACTTGTTTAAAAAAAAGGCTTTGAAAACTCAATTCATGAACTTGAATGAAATAAGCATGATCACACTGATTTATTCAGATAATTAAACACTGTTTGAGCCCTCTGTGTGTTGTTAAAAAATCTGGATTAAAACATCTCAAAAGTGATTTTTTTTTCTGTGAGGCTATTTTCAGGATGTCTGGCGAGTTTGTGTCCTGAGACTTGTGGCTCTATAAGTGAGTTTGTAAACTTGGGAATTGTAACTCAATCAGGATCAAGACAATGCATCCAGTCAGCGGAGTAACACAATCAATGTGGGAACTTCCCCTCGTGCAGAAAAGTCGGCTGATTGAAGCTGTGACAATTAATTACTTTGTTTTGAACACTGGCTAAAACGGAAGAGCTTCATTCTGAGACTTTTGTTGTCACTTAGTTTGCACAAACTTCCTTAAAGATTAATTTCAGGTCCAGTTTATGCGAAATGCGTTAATGATAAGCCAGAGCAGACATGCTCAGGGCAGACACACCTTTGGCTGTTATTAGAGTCTGTCGTCTCTCAACTAGAAGGTCGAGGGTTTGATCCCTAACTCCTGCAGAAACACGTCCGATGTGTCCTTGGGCAAGACACTTAACCCTGAATTACTCCCACTGCTTCATCAGTGGAGTATGAATGTGTATTAATGTGTTTAGTTACTTCTGATGGTCACTTTAAATAGCAGCCTCTACCATCAGTGTGTGAATGTGTAGGTGTGACCTGCGGTGTAAAAGAACTTTGAGTAGTCAGAAGATTAGATTTACCATTTACCTATAAAGTTGTTACTCTTATGATCAGCATCATTCGGTCATGCTGGTCTGACAGTTTTCTCTTTTTTAAATTTGTTACAGCCAGGAAATAAAACCTTTTGAGAGAGTTAAGCTGGCTGTTTCTACTGCTTACCATCTTTATGCTAAGCTAGGCTAACTTTGCTCAGCACTGGATAGACTACACCAAGAAAAAGATTCATGTTTTTGTTTATAAAACTAGAAAATATCGGAAAAATGAAGGCATGCAGTTTTGGAGTATGAAATATAGGGCTACTAGTTTTTCTACTTTTTAAGTCCGGTTGTTAAATATTGAATCCTTAGTTACTCTCAGCCTCTCGTAAAATCTGCTGCTGGCCTAACTCAACCTCTAAGTCTAGAAGGTTACACACACACACACACACACACACACACACACACACACACAGGTCACACAGTAGTCATTAGTGATGCGGGCAGACAGCCGTAAAATTGATCCTGAGCTGTTTCACTCTCACACACTCCCTGGTATTCTCTGAATGACTTTGATGTCACACACACACACTTCTTCGTATCTCTGAACAGCAGACTCTTCTGGACATCGGTCTCTCAAACCTCACATGTACCCCCTGACACAGCCGGCCTAAATTAAACACATGACCTCAGTCCCACGTCACGTTCTGCCCTCTTCCATGAAAAGATTGTTCAGAAACAAGGAAACACGGTGTTTTTTGGATACACAGGATATTCTTTTTTGAATCTAAAGTGCTGCCCTCTTATATTTCTGCGCTCTCCGTGGTGATAAAAGGTTTTAAACGCTGACCTAAACTTGTTCCTGTGTTTGGAGGTTGATGGGCTCTGGGCAGACAGACACATTATCGGGGGTTGTTAATGGGGCTTTTAAACGCATCCTAAAACCACAAACCCCCCCTCTGAAGATCCACCCAGCCGGCTCACTTTGGAGACCATCAGAGGAGTTTTCTCTTCAGCCAAATCCTCTGGCTTCTCTAAACCGCCCTAACACGCTGCTGTCTCGATCAACTTGGACTAGATTTACATTTAAAGGCATACAATGCGACTCTCAGAGCAGATTTTCAGACCAATACAATGCTCTCTTCAGACACACCTCCTTCCTCCCTCAGCTCCCCCCCCCCCACCTGTCTCCACACTTCCCCAGCGCCGCCCATCCTGTTCAACCAGCAAGTTTCAATGAGACAGAGAGCAGAAGACAAGTGACCATATGCATTGTCTGCAAGTTTATTTGGCTGTTATCTCTTTACGGCTTAGACCAAATAAAACCTTTTCTTCTGTTAGGATAGTCTGTTGGTTCTCCTTCAGTTGTTTTGCGTCAACGCTCTAGACACAGCGTCCCTGAGTGGGCAGAGCTGTATCGCTTCCCCAACATGGTCTCTTTGAAACTCAAACAAGCTGAAGGAAGCGCCCTTTTGTCGGTGTGAACACAGAGCTGAGAACAATAAACCCAGAGGGAGTTTTTTAGAACGTCATTACCGTGCTATGTATTCACATTTATATTGGATTGTTGCTGAGTATGAATGAACAAAGATGTAATAGATGTAAAAGATGTAATCCTGAAACCAGAGCAGAATTATAAGTACCTGGTCACATCTTGGATGACATAAGTGAGGAAGAAAAGGATTTCATCAATGTGTCCTTTTTCATTTTAATTTCTTCTTGCTGAAACTTTGTTACCAGAAAAAACTCTCCAGGGGTTTTCATATCACAGACACAATAGAAACAGAAATGATGAAGAGGATTTCCAGGCTGTCAGCACCGGGGTTTAAGTGGAAGAGAAAAAGGACTAAGGAGAAAAACTCACGACTTTCAACGTTTGTCAGCAGTTTAGTTTAGAGTTTACTGCATAATGTTTCCTGAAAAGGTCTTCAGTTATTATGAGGTGACGAGGCGGCAGTCTCAACAAGAAAGGGGGGGCCGCCTAACTCTCCAGCGTCCTGCTCTGATTCCTCACTGTCTACTTATGGACCGATCAGAGTATAATTAATGAGATGTGAGCGGGTTGTTTCCCATACACTTCAAGAGCATAATGATACAAGACAGTGGTGAATTTGCAGGATGATACTTTGTGGCTCTTTATGTCAGTAATGCACTTATTTATGCATTCAAACGTTCTCTTTTACTGTGTAATCAAGATTTTCCATTAATCTAAGCATGTTTACTGTCTTTCCAGGTGGATTTGGGATTCCTCCGGTTCATCACGGCCGTCGGGACACAGGGAGCGATCTCCAAAGAGACGAAGAAGCACTACTACGTCCGCTCTTACAAAGTGGACGTGAGCTCCACCGGAGAGGACTGGGTCACCGTGAAGGAGGGCTCAAAGCAGAAGGTAATGATGAGTCACTTTGTGCTGTAACAACCCACAACATGGCTAATATTGATGAGCAGAGAAAGACTCTGAATTCTAATCAATGGAGAGAGAGAGGTGTGGGCGGCTGAATCAATGTAGTTTTTTTTTTTTTTAAAGGCTGGCAGCATTTGGCAGAATCTCTGATCTGAGTTCTTTTTTACATCTGACTTCTTTCATGGAAAACAAGTCTGAAAGTGACGCCGGTGAAAAGACGCATTAAAGCCTCCAAAGGCTTATTGATAGATGTGCAACAGGTTCAAAGACCTGTATACAATAAGTTCATGATGAGAGAATTACCATGTTGCTAAATTTGGGAAACTTAGAAGAAACAACTCATTATATTTCAAGCTCAGAAGTTGGATCAGCTCTTAAGGTCCTGACACAACAAGCAGACGGCAAAGAACTACTCACGTTGCCTTTTGTCTTGGCCAAAAAGTTACACTTGAACACACCGCAAAGACTACAGCCGACAGCCAACCACCACGTACGTTCTGCGCATGCCTAAGAGGAAATAAATCTCCATGCCAGCAGGCGGCGGTAGTCCGTTGTTATGATATGAGAAAAAACATTTTCACACCGCTGTCAGTCACCACTTGTATTATAGGTAACATACTAATGGAGAATAATGTCTGATAAAAAGTTGAAAATGGCGCTGGCGTTGACAGTCCTTTGTCTTTTAGTGGAAAAAGAAAAGAAGAGGTGAAGGTAAAGAGAAACCGCACTAATGGGTGAAAGCATGGATACTACAGCGGCATGCTGAAGGGGCTTTCCTGAACCTGAGTCTACAGAGCTGGAGAGAAATGATAACAGCCAATCAGAGAGATTCATCTCACCGACCGCTGACGCTGATTCAACATGTCAGAAAAAACTAAAAGAAAACGGTTTCTGCAATCAGGGCACATCAATCAATCAATCAGTCATTATTTGTAGAGCGTCAATTCACACAAGTGTTATCTCGAGACGCTTTACAAAAAGAGCATATGGGATAACATGCAGGAAGGATTTCTCCTCGCCCACACGTCCTTGCCGCTGAGGTGGAGGTCGGCGCAGAACATGCATGAATGAAGAAATATCAATCAGTTAAATATATAACATGTTGAGTTAAGCCATGGATTAAAGCAAGTTTAAGCCCTCAATAAATAAATAAATAAATATCAGATATGTATGAGAGCAAATATTGCTTCAGCTTGTTTAGTTTAGAAATAGCAGCAGGGACAAAGCTGTTCCTGTACCACTTTGTTTCGGCACCGTGGGACTACAAAAACCTCCGCCCAGAGGGAAGAAGCTGAAAGTAGAACAAGCAGTAGTAGTAGAGGCACAGATGTAGTGATAAATACTTCAGGTTTATCGAGCAAAACATTTCCTTTAATAGCAATAATAGCAGCTGTGGTTTGAAAATAGAGTAGTGGTGCTAATCACAGGGATAGTGGTGATGTTTCCATGGCAACAGAAGCAGTGGTCCTTTTAGTACAGATGTTAAAAACAGCAAAATCAAGAGCCAGGGGCGTGTCCAGAGGGGTGGCCAGGGGAGACACGGGGGGAAGTATGATCCTGGCAACACCAGGTGCCACAGTTCACTCAGACGACTCACATTTACATTGCTGGATATTTTTATTGCAGCAGGTGAACAAAGTTTGTTTTGGGTCGAGGCACCGACCTCATCCCTCCTCGCAGATTTGATTTCACATGCAGAAATTGAGGAGAGATGACATCATATTTTGAACCGCCGGTCGGGGCCTTCAGGTGGGTGGTGGGGTTTAAGAGCAGCACTGGTCAGAGACAGCAACACAATGACAGAGCAGAGGGAGAGAGTGGAAATCTTTCAGCTGAAATGGTCCGCAGCACTGGGAGCTTCCTGCTCCGATGGTAGGATCTATATCCTTACTGATTATATAAGCTGATTAAATATGTTTCTTCTTGTGTACTTTCTGTTGTTCAGATCTTCCAGGGGAACCACAACCCGACGGACGAGGTTCTCGCCTACCTCCCCAAACAGACTCTGGCTCGTTACATCCGAGTCCGCCCGATGTCCTGGGAGCAGGGCATCTGTATGCGCTTTGAGATCTACGGCTGCAGAACATCAGGTAACAAAAAACCACGTCCACAGCACACAGAAATACACATGAAAGGACTTTAAGAGCAAAATAACCGGCTCTTTGAAATTATATTTTGAGTAAATGATGTTGATGTTCAGCCTCAATTCAGGTATCAAGAACATGATTATCATTGAATGCTTGTCGTCATCTCAGGGTTGGAATTTGCTTGTTTTACCATCGATGAACAGAAGGATTAATCTGGTCTGGCTGCCGATCAATCTCTTGATTGTAAACTACGGCTAAGTGCGTCAGAAGAAGAGTTCTCCTTTAACGAGAACTTTATATGAGGCTCACAGCTTGAACTCTTAGAGCACCAGTTCATGGTTTGGTATAATCCTGTAAATGCTAAAACACACAAAATGTTTAGTTTCTTTTCTTTCAAACTCAACAACCGAAGCAAATAAATTCCTACTCACCTCCAGCTCGCTCTGTTACATGTTCGGTCCATGTTCACGTCGTCTCCACGTCTTTATCTACAGTTTGACATTTTGAAGTTTCAGTCTAAAGAAGTCCAAAAATGATCCTGCCCATCGTCTGCTGTTGATTGTCAAGTGAAGGGCATAGCCAATTGGGAAGCGGGCTGACTGGAGAAGGAAACACAATCACCGCAGCAAATCCAAAGTCTTCATGTCCGTCGCCCCGGCATGTTTGTTTACTATGAAGTTAACTGCGAGAGATTTAGCGAGATTTTAGAGTCAGGACTGCTTCTGGTAGTGTTTTGTGTTTCTGTTTCGATCACACCGTTGCTCTCCTCACACATGGGAGCTGTTAGATTTGAGTATTTGTCATCATGTGTGTGGGGTCTCTCACATTCTCAACATCTGCTGAGATTCAGTCTCAGATTAAGTCTTTCAGTGTGGGACCGGGCTTCACTTGAAAAGACTTGAGAAGTTTTCCGAGAGTGACAGCCGGGAAACAACTTCTTTTAAAAGTTTTACCTGCTTTTGGCCCCGTTTGACTGTTCTTCCTCATAGCACACACTCTACCCTCTTAACAGCATTTTCTCGCTTTTTGCACATCACCGTGAATCAAAGTTAACATCTTTTTGGCGCCGGGATGAGAACCTCCTGCTGCTCTCTGTTGATTTAAAATAATCATCGCTTCCAAGGCGAGCCCAAACTCCCACAGAAGGACACCGTTATTCATTACAGAGCAGCGCAGGAAAAATCATGCCGCCTCATTACTCATCCTCTAACATTATATAAAGCCCCGGTCCTTGATGTGCTACAAGCAACTCTCAGTAGGAGAGCTCCATAAAGTAGATATTAGGCTCTTACTCATAGGAGAACAGGCTGTGGAGTGCTAGACAGGTGATTCAGGTGATATAATGACACAAGCGGGAAGCCAGGAGTGTGAGTGTGTGTGTGTGTGTGTGTGTGTGTGTGTGTGCGTGCGTGCGTGTGTGTATAAAGTATTAAACATGAAACAGAACCTTGTACTTCATCATCATCTCACCTGAATTTTATCCAATTTCTATTTTCAATCCCAGACCAAAAACATGCAGTTTAGCTCCCTCTTATCATTTGACACCTCCTATTTCTGCGAGCACTTATGTTATAGTCATAAACATAAAAAAACACTCACAGACGTTGCTGCAGGGTATTTATTACTAAACTGTAAATAACTGAGTAAAACCTTTAAACTGTAACTTTGAACTTTGTCCGCAATTTCACTTTTTTACAGTCAATCCCAAACCAAACCCCATTTAAAAAATTGCAAATTAAAGCAGTGATCAAATGCACTTTGTATATTAAGTGACTCTCCCTGCAACCAAATTTACCTACAGGTACAAATAAAATAACCTGAATCTGAACCTGCATCAAAGTGAAGCACGCATATTTAACCCAAATGACCGACAGGGTACCCCGTCCACAGCCAACCTACGTTCTCATTAGCCGGTCGTTTGAAGGAGCATGCAATGAGAAAATCATCTTTGGCACACTGAATATTACTTTACTGTCACTTTATTGTGAGCCAACATCACGTTTCACCTCTGGCTTCCTCAGGTCGCACCCAGCAACGTGTCAAACCTGAGGTGAGAAGCGACAAATAACATGGAAAACAAGCTATTTCTTGCACATTTAACTAATTCTTTCCTATTCCTGTGAGGACATTTGCTCTTTGTTGTGACATAACGGTTGTGTGGTGAGTTTCCTAAATAACAAAGTGTAACTCCTTAAACTTTGAATTCTGGTTTTACACTCTGTTACTGAGAGATATACTTCTCACACACAGAAATAATTACACAAACAGGACCAGTGGAGAGATGTCAGAGTGGGGCTACTACACACTGCTACACACTGTTGTTGATTCTGTACTCAATGGCACAATGGCAGTAGTGACCTGGTGCCTCTCCAGCAACCAGACCGACTTCCATATTTTGGTCCGCACCCGTCTCAATAGTCCCTACAGACTGAGCTACTGCCGCCCAGTATCTTGATGTACAGTTTTAATCTTGCTCCTATAACATGATACGCTCTTTACAGTAGTGCTTCAATGAAAGACAAGGAATTGATCCTTGTTTTGAACTTAATCTAATTCAGTTCTTCCTGTTAGAAGACGGTATTCAAAGTGATAAAACTCTTAAACACACACATCAACTTAATAAATAACAGTGAGTAGAACCTTTAACCTAGAACATGATCAGCACCAAACAAACAGGCACTTTATAGAGGGGCTGAAACTCATGAGAGATAAGCTTAGTTTTCCCTTTTTAACCCATTGTCTTCCATCCCTGCAAGGATGATGATACTTAAAATAACCCCTTAACACAAGAACACACACACACAAATATGACTGTAGGAGCTTTCTATAAAGGTGTACCTGGACCTTTTTAACCTTGAACATTAGGTTTAAGTTTAAGTTAAAGTCCTCATTTTGACTCAAACCTAATCCTATTTCCGTTTTAAACCTGACCTAAACTCTTGATACAAACATGCACTTTAAAGAAGTTCTAAAAAAAAGAGAAATGATTTTCTTTGTCTTGCACATTTTAAGAGGACACGTTGTATTCATAAACTCAGAACTGCAAGACGACACACAGACATGACTGCAGGGGGTTTCCATAAAGAACACTGACAGTCTGTATGTTCACATTGAGGAGGAATTTACATCCTCTGGAGCTGCTGTTAAGTGTCAAATATAACTCTGGAAACATCTGTCCAATACAAAAATCACACAGAGACCAGGACCGTCTGAGCCCAGATATAAGACAATGGAGAAAACTTGTTATTTGTTGAGTTTAATTGAACTGATTCTGGTGAAGCAGCACAGCTTATGCGTCTAGTTTATAACGTTTCTACGTCAGTATATTTCTTTATTCCTGAGCGACATCAGAGATAGCAGACCGGCCCGCTTGTTCAACAGATTGTCTTCTAACCTCGAGGCGGCCCGTAGAGTCCCCCTTCACCAGGCGAGTCTGTCGGTGTCGGGAACCCAGGAGACCAGACTCTGAACATTTTCCAAACACTCTGCTACCAGCTGCTTCTCGACTGTCGACGTGAAAGTCTCAGATGGACATGAAAAAAAGTGCACACTTCTAAATGAAAGTAGAATAATCATGCTTAAAATAGAATATTTGCAAAATCAAAAGTAGGAGAAGTAGTAAGACCACAGAACATATCATATACATCAGACACCTTATTGTAAAAATCGAGGAACAGAGTGGCCATTCAAGCGTTATTTGCTATTTCTGGTATTATCATAACAGTAGAGCTTCAGGTGAAACCCATATGAAGGCGTTTGCTTACCAATGCAAAGTTTTAAGTTAAATTCAGCGAAGAAAATAAATTAATCTTTTGTGCTCTTACTCTCGTGTTTAACCACGGCAGCAGCGCCCAGAGAGTATTGACTTTAACCGCTGACGATATCAGCAACTAGATAAGGATGCATCCCCTTTCCTATCTCTCTGTATGCCTTTCAAAACTTTCCTCATCCCCCTCTGTTTCTCTCTCTCTCTCTCTTTGTGCAGACTATCCATGTGCCGGGATGCTGGGGATGGTGTCGGGTCAGATCTCAGACGCTCAGATCAGCGCCTCGTCGTACGCAGACCGGGGCTGGGTCGCTGAAAACGCTCGACTGCTGACAGGGAGATCGGGCTGGACCGGGCAGCAGACCAAGCAGCCTTTCAAAAACGAGTGGCTACAGGTGAGTCTGACACTGAACGCTGAAGATTCAGGGGGGAACATTTGTCTGAACAAATTACCTAAAATCAAGTTGGTCTACGAGTGACTCAATCCTTATAATACACAGCCTATCATTTTTCTTTTTAAGTGTATTATGTGATTGTTTTATCATCAAACTAACTGGTTTCTCCTGTGTCCGTCCTTCTTGAAAGGTGGATCTGGGTCAGGACAAGATGGTGAGCGGCGTTGTGATCCAGGGAGGCAAACACCGCGACAGAAACGTCTTCATGAAGAGGTTCAGGGTGGGCCACAGCCTGGACGGAGAGGACTGGACCATCGTGAAGGAGGACAACACCACCAAGCTTAAGGTCGGCGTTTGTTGTCACGGGTTACTAACCCTATAAATACTGTGAATATACTGTATGTGCTGTACTTCTAAAATAGCAGAATCATAATAACAGAAAACGTCCAGAGATCTTTGAAATGATCGTCCCTGAGAAATTTGTGAGAATTTTGATCAAGTAATCCAAAACCAGTTGAATCTGTATTTATTTAGTGATAGTGATGTTTCATAACACAGCTTGTTAGAGACAAAAGCCTTCATGACACACTGATATACGATAGGATGTGTTACATTTTGATGAGTTACAATTTGATACGATACAGTACGATAGGATATGATGTGATGGATACGATACCACACACTGTGACAACCTGGATGCTCCACTGTTTTCACCGAATGTTTACACCCCTGAATCCCACATTCACACCCATTTCCCCCTCTGTCCACTCATCGACTCGCTCACCGTTTGCGCCACCATTCAATTCTACCCGGTATGACACGGTACGATAGGATATGATTCGATATAATAATAATGAATAATAATAATAATTTATACTTTATTAATCCTGCGAGGGGAAATTCAGTTTCACACTCTGTTTAATGAACATGCTACACAAACATAGGCCGAAATGCACAAACAGGATCCTGTGGACATGCACTAATGGAGAGGTCTCAGAGTGAGGGGGCTGCACACAGCGAGTGCTCCAGAGCAGCTTTGGGGTTCGTGCCTTGCTCAAGGGCACCTCAGCAGTGCTCAGGAAGTGGACTGGCACCTCTCCAGTGACCAGACCAATTTCTGGACTCGGTCCGTGCCGGGACTTGAACCGGCGTCACTCCGATTCCCAACCAGTCCCTACAGACTGAATCTTGCATGATATCACTACACCAGCGGCGCAATACATAAATAGATGTTACATACAGATATGATTGAAGTGATACTTTAAGATATAGGATATAGTACGACGCTGTAAGATATGATGCTACACGGTACAGCACGATACAGTATGATACGACATGACGGATACGATGTGATATCATACAAAACAACATGATTTGACAATGCAACACCATATGATACAACACGTCATGACGACATGGCATGGCCCAGCCTGGCATGAAAGAAACGATATGAAACGACTCCAATACAACACAATAACATACAGAATATCACATTACTGCTTTTTACACTTTAAGTCCTTGTGGGAAGTTTGATTTCTGCTCACATTTAGCAGTCTGTATTTATCCCTGTATTATTACACTTATTAAAATGTGATGGTTAATGAGCAAGGCTGTACAAATGTCATCTGAAGTCAGACACTTGTATGTTTCTACTTTTCATCTAAACTTCTTTCCTCCCCCTCTCGTCTCTCTCTCATTCTTCCTCTATCGTCCTCTGTCCTCGGTCTTCTGTCATTCAGCGGCAGTGCGGTGATGAAAGCCGGCTCAGATTAGCAGAAAGTTGATTATACAGGGAGAGAGATAAAAGGTTGTTGACGTGACATAAACCTCCTCTGACTGTAATCTGTGATTCCTGGGAGCCGCTCGCTCGCCCGACCACAACGCCGCTCGTGGAATGAAATGTTTGGCACCCAAATTATAGACTTGTTGTTCATATGAGCTGTGACTGCTCTGTTTGTCGGATGGCTTTTGTCTGACGCACGCGACGCCAGCCTGGACGGGAAGAAAGATGGAGATTTAAAAGTAAAAACTGAGATGCAGGGGCAAAAAAAGAAGAAATACAAAGTAGAATAAGGAAAAATAGATTTCAGATTCAAGAAGTATCACAGTATGATTGGGTTTTGTTACCACCTGACTCATGGATGGTAATAAAGAAAGAAGCCACACAGATAAAGCATCAAAATGATCTTTATTCAACTGAAATAATCAAATATTAAATAATGTAATGTGTCGAGTCCGAAATGTCTGTGTGAGTGAAGATTCACGATGTTTGTGATGAGTGCAGGCAGCGCACCAAACAAAGGGAAGGCTGAGAGGTGACAGCAGCAGCAGGCCGAGCTGAGAGAGAACGAGAGTCTCAATCAGCTTAAACGCTTAAACGCCCGACACAGCTGACGACCCTCCCAGCTCCACCCACACGCCAACTTCAAGCACCTGAGAGAGACAGGAGTGAGAAACAAGCAAGGATACGACCTCAAATATGTCCAAGAGTCATCAAAGCCAGAGAAATCTTTAATTTTATAGTTGTAATGGGACCTGACAGACACGGCATGTTTATCGTTGCCATGGAAACATCGGATGTTTCATCATAGATTGCTACTGAAAGCTGCCGCGCTGTTGCTGTTTGTGCTGCTGTGATAAATACGTCATGTAAATTATACTCGGATACATCAGCTCGTCTGTAAACACATTCTCTTCCTCAGGTCGGATTGGCTCGATCGTGGGGGGAGGAGGGGGGAATAGCAGAGAGAATCACTCCCACGATTCCCCGCCAGCCTTCACGTCATCTTTTGTTATTGTTTTGATTAAGATCCCTCTGGCGGTGGAATTTACATACTGTGTGTTTAACTAAGATTTTTTTTTAAATATATTATAGAAGGATAGAAGGACGAGGTCCAGGTGTTAACAAAAAGGCAGAGAACTTTAAGGGAATTTGGCTCTCTAACCCGGACTTAATAGATGCTAGATGTCGACAGTGTTAAAGAACCCAACCCACACAGGTCACAGATTATTTGTCCTCCCGTCATCAGGGATGAGATATAGAGCCACCAAAGCCGATTTAATGGACGAAGGAACGACTTCTTCCCAGGAGCCTTAACCTCCTTCACCTCCTGCACCTCCTGCAGCTGCAGAGGACTGGAGACTGTAAATAACACCAAGATAGCCTCTTCATCCTTCCACTTTTTAACAGTCTGATTTATTCCTCAATACCTTTTTTCATTGCACTGTTTGCCCCGCCATTGTTTACCTGCCCCAAGTACCTGTATGTGTTTAGATCCAGGATGCTTCCTTATACTCATTGCGTTTAAATTTCACAGGGAAAGCTGGCCTTCATTGAGCTTATGCATGGTCTGGAGAAGTTCTATTTTTGCTGGCAGAGTTTGAGTAAATTAAAGTAAGAACATATTGATGAGTCTCAGATGTGTTTGTGAATGAGGCCCATTACGATTTCTTACGATTTTCTTTGTCTTCTTTCTGTTGCTGCTGTTTAAAAAGAAAAGTAGCGAAACAAGTTAATGGCTCGCTTAAAACAAAACTAAATTCATATTGTTCATTTATCAACCATTTCTCTAAGCATAATGACACTTTTTTTTTAAAGTGTAAGTGCCTCTGACAACATTTTAATTAACTCTAAAGAAATGTGAGTCATTTAAGCTGTTAGTGTCTCTGAACAGATGAATTAAGTTCCTCTTTTATGACTATTCAGTGGAAAGCTTTCTCACTAACTTCTTCTTGATGAACAAGCTCCTCTCACAGCTGCTTTGGTTTGATCAGGATAAACAAAAGGAAGATTTGTGAAGTTTTAAATGGGATACAAGTCAAACTTCTTCCTTAAATGTAAAGAAGACTTTGCAGAACTTATCTGTGTGACTGACAGGTGTGATTGAGCGTAAAGTATAAAAGATAGAGAGGAGATAAAAAAAAAAAAAAAAGGAAACATGGAATAGAAGTAGGAAAAACTCCCCTCTAGTCTCCGTCTCCGTCTGTATCACTTCTTAAGAGATTTTGGAGACTTTGTGTCTGATCCCCGAGAGGAAATTCATGTCATTGCTTTAAGACTCCCACTTCCCCCCCTTCGTCTCCCGGCCCTGTTGGTGCGACATCCTCCTCTATGCGTTCCAGATGGTGGGGCTGGAGGACGAGGTTTGGGGCCGTCTGTCTCCCACTGATTTAGTGCAGACGCGGATCTTGATGCTCCTCTGTCCCCCTCAGCTCTGCGTCTCCGCTCTGTTTCCTGTGTCTTTTTATAAAAACCCGCTTCAAAAGACGAGGCAGGAAAAGGGCTCAGCGAGGCCCGGGCTGGTGCATGCATTACAGCAAGGCCGGGCTCACACATGGTCGTAGTGTAGTTACTGTATATACGTTCATGCATAAACATGACAATATGAGGAGACTGGCCTGTTGGGTTTCTTACCTTCCACCTGTTTCTCATCAAACGCAGGAAAACAGTCGACACATCGTGTGGAGTAAGAACAACGACTTCACAAAAAACAGGCCAGGAAATATGGTTAAACTTTGCAGAAAGATCGTAGGCGTTCACTTGAATGATCTTGGCCATGTTTTTCAAATAAGAGCAACTCAGAAGGCAAAGCTCATCCTGGATGACCCTCACCACGCTTTTGCATGCAGACTTCTGCCGACAGGGAAACAGATATCTGAGGTCCTTTGTCTTATCACCAGTTGCCTGTACACTTGTACTACTATGGACAGTTGGGCTTTGTGTCTCTAATCTCAGTCACGTCCATCTTAATGATATCCATTTTTACATTTTACAAAACAAAATTACAGAAACCTGAAACACTTTTACCAAACCTCCAACAAATTCACAAACGGCAGAATCTAGACAGAAAGCGGATGTACCAAAATCCCATCCAATCAACTCCAATGACCTTCATAACATCCTAAATGTTTCTACACCCTTATAGATCCGATCATTTGAATGTTAACTCAAGGAAAAGTTTATTAATGGAGCACCGTTCATACATGTAGCGATTCCAACAGGGCCGACAGAGTTTAAGACTCGAGCTGAAGTATCCAGGTTTCATTTTGAGCTGCACTTTCTTCAACAATCTCAACTTAATTGAATTATATTTTTCATACTGGACGTTTTTTATTCATCCATCAACTGTAGAGGTATTTCAATCAGGAACGACTTAATGAAGAGTTTACAATTTGTGCATTTAACAGTTTAGGAAAAGATGTGTTTGGTGGTTCACTCGGTCATGATAGCAGGATAGGATACCCCCCTATGGGGTCTAGTCTCTGGTGGTGGTCCCCCTATGGGGTCTAGGCTCTGGTGGTGGTCCCCCTATGCGGTCTAGTCACTGGTAGTGGTCCCCCTATGGGGTCTAGTCTCTGGTGGTGGTCCCCCTATGGGGTCTAGTCACTGGTAGTGGTCCCCCTATGGGGTCTAGTCTCTGGTAGTGGTCCCCCTATGGGGTCTAGTCTCTGGTAGTGGTCTCCCTATGGGCACTAGTCACTGGTAGTGGTCCCCCTATGCGGTCTAGTCACTGGTAGTGGTCCCCCTATGGGTCCAGTCTCTGCTGGTGGTCCCCCTATGGGGTCCAGTCTCTGCTGGTGGTCCCCCTATGGGGTCTAGTCACTGGTAGTGGTCCCCCTATGGGGTCTAGTCTCTGGTAGTGGTCCCCCTATGGGGTCTAGTCTCTGGTGGTGGTCCCCCTATGGGGTCTAGTCTCTGGTGGTGGTCCCCCTATGGGGTCTAGTCTCTGGTGGTAATCCCCCTATGGGGTCTAGTCACTGGTGGTGGTGGTTAAAGAATTGCAGCAGTTGTTAATTTTCTTTCTCAACAAAGGAAGTGCTGAAGAGTTAGTAACCTCCATGTAGGTGTTAGCATGAATGTAGCTAGAGCGTTCACCTTCGAAGTGTTTTGTCATTTCCCCCCCAGACACAAATCTTTTTGTACTTACAATCACGTCTTAGCTGTACCCATAATGCCTCACTGCAGCCTTTATTGAATCAGGCAAAATGAAAACCTCAGCCGCCAGACAGCCAGGAGTGCTATGTGGTGTCTGGTGTCCCACCGCTGAGTTTGACGGAAACCATTTTCATCTGTGCCGCCGCCATGTTAAACATTTGAAAAGGATGGACGCTGGTTCTGATTTCCTACCTTTTGCCTTTGTTTCCCTCTTTTTCATTTTAGTTTCAGCTTCTTATCAAAGCGACGATTGCTCGATCAGACGCTCACCAAACATGATTGTTTGGCGACGTAGCTTTGAGCCAGAATTAAAGCAGGAAAGAGAAGTCTGATGTGTCCCTTTGTCTGAGATTTACAACTTCAGAAATCATCGAATGACACCGTCTGATTCATTTTGAAACCAAAAACTGATTTTCTCCATTTCCTGGAAAGATAAGTATTTGAAGCCCTCAGATTTCCTCGTGCTTGATAAAAGCTTGCCTAAAATTATACCCTTAAGCTTTTTGCTGATCTCTCCTCTGATAGGAAACCATTTTCATCTGTGATAGGAGAGTTTTTATTTTTGAAGTTTCATGTTCATTTAATTAGGAAATCTGCTTTCAAAAGTCTTAACATGCACTTGAAAGGTCTTTGAAGTTTGGGCTTTGATGAAATTTGCAGACATCCTGTGTTACAGCTTTTCTGATAAAAGCAACAGAAATGACTATTTGCTGCTGCAAATTGAACCAAATTGAATAAGACATGGACCGTGTCTACTTTGGTTTAAAGTCTGTCGTTATTCAGCCACTTAATTCCCAGATAAAACCTTTAATTTTGTGTTTTTCCAAAGAGGACTCATCGTTGTTTCTTTAATTGACTTCCTTTAACTCAACATACAAATCAGTCATCGTGCACCAATTATCTAAATCATAGTCCTCGTGTGCATTAATGCTTTCTGCAGCAGTGATAAGTTATTAAAAGCATTTTTTAATGTAAGATCCTGAATGTTAGATTACTAAATTAGATGTTTATTTAAATTCATTGAACATCTCCTCAAAGCAAAGTTTCCAAAGCGATGATGCCTGAAAACTCGTCCACAAAGACGACTATACAGCAGAGAAACTAACAAGCTCACCATCTTATCTTTAGTTAAATAAGTGAAATATAATCAGGCAGTGGTGTACCTGAAATGAAATGTCTGCCAGAGTCTTGAAAAAACATGAGGAAGTGGCCTCCAGGTTGGAAGTCCAGGGAAATAATTCAAGTGCGATACCATACTGGCTTCCCAACATGCTAGAGGATCATCAGTGTGTTGGTACCCCATCATCAGTGTGTTGGTACCCCATCATAGCTGATGCTCCTCCACCTTAAACAGCCTGAGTCGCCCAATAAATCAGTCCCTAACGTGTCTCTCTGTCGCTTTCATCTTTAGATCTTTACCGGGAACCAGAACCATGACACCCCTGAGCTGAGGTCAGTGGGTCCCCTCCTGACCCGCTTCATCAGGATCTACCCGGAGAGAGCGACAACCGAGGGCCTGGGCCTCCGACTGGAGCTGCTGGGCTGCGAGCTGGACGGTAGGTGTTGGATTTGACTTCATATACAGTAAGATGCCGTAGTAGGTGGTATTCTGTGTTTGTAGATGAGTCATGTTCAGTCTGGTCTCCTAGTGGTCTGTTTTGTTTTAGTTGTTATGTTAGGTAGCTTATTTTCAGTGGTACAGCAACTTTCTGATTTACCAGTGTGACTCATAGCAGCTGCTCGATTCTGATTGGCTAGGGTGGTATGTGATGTTTCAAATATTAGCAAAAACAGAAAACAATATGCATGTAATCTAAAATTACATACATTTAATTTTATTGTCCAAAATATATTTATTATTAATTAGAAGTTGATTTCCGTCTTACTTTAAAAGTGTCTGTGACCCCACTAGGGCTCCCTGCTGAACTCCCAGGGTGGTCAAGACCCACACTTTGAGAAACACTGCCATATAACACAAGGGAAAATATCAAAACATGTAAACAACACTTTGAGATGTATTTGCATTAAAGTGTTTTTTGGCCTCAGTCAGCAAACCAATCAGTCATTAAACATCGTTCACCTGCAGCTGCTTATCTGCTCTTTAATGAGAGCTAGAGAGAGGCGGGAGAGCGAGCGCATGGCAGGTTCATATCTCTACTGCAGCAGTGGACAGACCTGGATAGTGTGTGTGTGTGTGTGTGTGTGTGTGTGTGTCAGAGAGAGAGAGAGAGAGAGGGCTCGACCTCCCGCAGTAGGTAAAGGAGGAACAGATGAAGGGAGTAGGGAGGCTCTCCGGTGTATCTGGTTGCCCTGTGGAGAGAACGATAAGGATCAGCTAAAGTTCAGAGGAGATGAAGGATTGGTGAGAAAGAGAGAGGGAGAGACAAACAGAGAGGAGTCGAGGGGAGGATGCAATGAGGAGACGAGGGGAGTAGAAGGCAGGAGATAAACTTTGTGTGATTAAGAGGATCTTTGAAGAATCCCTTGAAACCCTTTAAGAATCCAAAAGCTCCCTGCAGCTGATTATTTCCCCTTTTTTTCTTTACTGTAAAGTTGATTTAAAGGTTGAAAGATGAGAAGCAGCACAGAGGAGGGTCAGTCAACAGCAGCTGATAACACTGCACAGCTCCTAGCATGCTACTGAAAGTCCTGTGCAAGTTTTTTTATAAAGTGTACTGGCAATCATTTTATGACACGATATGATTAGCCACCTATGTTTCAATGCATCGCTTTTTGGCCTCTGATGTCTCCTTCTGAGGAGTGGAGCTGAAGATTGCCTATTTCTGGCACTCAAGGGGTTAAAAACAACTCTGAGTGTATCTGAGTCACAGTGTTGGTCAGTCTGTCGGCTTGACTCCCATTGTGTAGAAATAAAAAGACTCAAGTGAGATTAAGAGATTAAGAATGTTTTCTTATTTGACTAAACAGTTCTTGATTTAGTTCAATTTTGTGGACATGATATACAGTTCAGAAAGTTAAATCGCAATTTACATTATCGCAATTCTCAACATATCACAAAATGTTTAAAATCCTGACTTAAGTATCGTGATAGCCTTTTAGCTCCAAACAAATTATTTCACTTCTCCAACTTTCAAATTTCACTACCTAATCTCCAAATAGTACACCTTTAACAAACAGCTAAACCAGGTTAGTAATGAGGACTGGACCTTAAACTGGGCTCGACCCCTTTTTGCCTGGGGCCCTAACAAACTCTGACTGTTTATTCAGCCTGATATTGTGAGAAATAAACTGAGTGAGAGACTAACATGATAAAATGTGTAGACGAGAGTTTGTGTGTGCATATGAAGAGGGGTTGTAAGGACTGAGAGCAAACTGAAAAAGAGCGGAAAGACAAAAAAAGAGTACTATTTCAAGCAGCATTTTTGTCCCTGATAAGGATCAAACCACTCCTCTGCACACTCACATGCATCCAAACCACATGTGCACACTTCAAAAAACATACACATATATACTGTTTACTGAGATATTTCAAGATCGAGTCAAACCCACAAACATCTGTCTATAAACTCAAAGATACAAATTAGCGAGCATGCTAATCATCAGTTATTTTAATGACAGTCTTCTTATACATTAATGCTCACTGAAGCAGAGAGTAAAGATGTTATTGAAGCCCTTTTTTTAATGATAAGAGGCTTAATGTAGGATCACTTAATTAGGTGTTTCTTTGGATTACTTCTTCACCTCCTCAAAGCAAAGTTTCTTAAAGCGATGTTGCATGAACATCTTAATAATAATGGAGCGAGCAGAGGCACTAACAAGCTCACAGCGCTGCCTGCGAGTCGCATTCAACAGTTGTTTGCTTTGAGTTAAATCCTGTCCTTACATCCACGCTGTTGTCGGAGCAAACCTTCATCCCACTCAAACATGTTCCTCATCTTACAAAGTTTAATTACATGCACACCATCTGTGATTTTTTTTTTTTTTTTTTACACACGGCCTACATATGCTAATTCATCTTCAATTTGCTGCATTTCCATAAAAGCACATCAGCAGACATGGAGAGCATGCTGGAGTTGAACAAGATAACGAGAGTTTCCGTCGTTATCACTTTGAATCCTTGAATGGGGAACGAGAGTGCCGGCTCGTCTTTAATGTTCAGGAAAATGGAGACACTTGAGTTGTGCGGCGGGATTGTCGACGAGGGGTGTCGAGTTTTTTTTAATATTCTGATATCTCTTCACCCAAAAAGGGAGTCGCAACTCTCCTGCAGAAATGATCCAAAGAGATCTTGAGATGAAGAAAGGCCTCTTGAAATGTGGCTCAAATGTGACTTTCTCTTAGTTCGTTGCTTCACTTTGCATTCGCTCAAGGCTTCCAGCTAACAGCCCGCTCTCTGTTTATTTTCAGAGCTGCTTATGATGCCTCTGATTGTGCATTTCTACCAATCCTGAGACCATCATTGTCTTGTCGTTGACTAGCATTTAGCAAATCTTTAGCATGCTAAATTTTGCCGAATATATGTTAACCACTAAGTCCCAGAACTGTAGCATCTTAAGCCCCTTTTTACAAAGTTTTCTGGGCATTTCAGGAGCTCTTAGGATCAGTTTAGTCCTAAGTAGAAAAACACTTTGGACAGTAATTTCACAGAGACGTATAGGAGAGGAATGAGTGCATTAATAATTGCAAGCCAACACTATATAACTCACAAACATTTGCTTGATGAAGGTCTGGCTCCGATACATTGCCAGTGAATACATTTTTGCAAATCAGACAGTTTGCGAGCATGGGGCTCCTTTTACAACAGGCAAGGCAGGGAACTGCTTGGGGGCCCCAAAGCCAGTAGCCCCCGACCCGGTCTGACAAAGTTTGGCGGTGGTTGCTTGGACGACACGCGTCAGGGTCGTCGTGATAGTAGTAGTGTCAGATCACTCCGCTGAAGATTGGGGCAGCTCTGTCTACTCGAGATATAAGAATGCTGGTTGGAGGGCCCCCTGTGATTCTTTGCCTAGGGCCCCAACAGAATCTAGCATCACCAATGTTTGCGGGAGTTCGCCTGCAACATTGTTTTAGTTTAATTAATAAAGTATGAAAAAGCAAAAGATTGAATGCTGTCCCTCTCATAGATTTGCTTCTTGTTATTTCTTATGTTCTTCTTAAGTAGCCCAGTCAAAGTTATTCTTCCTGTTTGCTTTATACAGATCAGGTTAATTACTGTAATCAGAGATTGAAAGTGAAAGATTTGAGACAGCTCTCCCTTCACAGTTACGTCAAGAACTAACAACAGAAAAGTATCACACCTGATTTTAAAGGAGCTCATTATTTCCCTGCTGTTATATTTGACAGCATTTTTTATGCTGAAAAAAAAACCCTCAAGAGTTTGGCGTTACAGTCAAGTTCTTGTTTCCACATCAAACTGTCAAACTCAGAGTGCTCATGCCAGCAGAAACGACTTCCTCCTCCAGGCGAGGATTTGTGGGTGTTCCAACTTATTTAAGACTCTTGTTCCTCTTTCAGAAGGGGAAGTAGAGGTTCATTGGTTCCTAAAAGTCCCTACAGTAAAAGAGACTTTAACTTAAATGTGATAAAAAAAAAAAAACCTTGAAGATGCATTCAGGTAAAAAAAAATCTGAGTTCGCTCTGATGTTTGACACAGAAACTGCAAACGCTGAGTCGCACTTTCTTTCTTTTTTCCTTTTCTTAAAAACAGTGCAGCAATTTTGAAAAAGCCTTTGTATCTGTTCAAATAAAAAACTTTTTTTATCGTCTCTTTCATTCAGACATTACAACGACAGCCCCGCCCACCACGCCCATCGCCTCCACACTTCCCATGACCACGTTTGGAGCGACCACCACAGCGCCGACCACCATCCCTGGAACCACCCTGAGTCCAGAGTGTGAGGAGGGGCAGCCGGACTGTGTGGTGGAGACCGACGCCCCCGATGACTATGACACAATGACGGGTAAGACGCCAAAACTCACTGTTAAGATTCTTTTTTTGGGGGGGGCGCTTTTAGGCCTTTATTCCAGAGGACAGGTACAGACGTAGAGAGACAGACAATGAGGAGATGAAGTGCACCAAACATGATCGTAGTCGAACCTGCAACCAATGTGACTCAGACTCTGTACATGAGGCGTCTGCTCTACCAGCTGAGCTAAACTCACCTCCATAGTTGCTGCTCTTCAGCTCTCTCAGAACGCTCCGTTTTGGTGGTGTGTATCTCTTTAAATGCAATGAGCCCCGCCCCCTGAGTTTTCCTGGTAGACATCACTCCTCTCTAGCGAGAATAAAAATGGCCGACCTGCGCAAAAGTTTTGTTCTAGTCTGGGGGTGGAGTCCCTGGGTGGAGATACCAGGGGAGGGGAGGGGATTTTTTTATACCAGAATCCCACTGTGACATCACAAGGAGAGCACATTTGAAACAGAGCATTTTTCTCTGTGTTGTAAGACTTATTCAGACCACAAACAAAGGACTGGATGGGTTTATTTCACATTTTGTGGGTCAGTAGACTCTGAGGTTACCCAAATATATGTTCAGAAACTCTGAAGAAGTGGATTTTTCACAATATGTACATTTAAACTAAGATGATATTTGAATCCTTTAGACTTCTTAAAATGTATATTACCTTCTTAAATGTTGAGCAACCCGACATTGAAATACTGATTTCTGGTAAGTCGAGGTGTGTCGAGTGTGTGTTGGCATCTGTGTGGGTGTGACTAAACCGCCTGATCTCTGACCTTTCTCTGACTCGTCCATCTGTCTGCAGCAGGAGGAACCACAGCGCCCGACCCCATCCTGGACTTCATACCAGGTGAGGATGTCTGCCGCAATCTGCTGCCATGTTTACTCTCCTCTTCTTTCACCTTTTCCTCTCTCCTCGTGTCCTTGTCCTGCTTTTTTTTTCATTTATTGACTTTTCTGTTCTCATTTCTCTCCACCCGCTTATCTTCCCCTCTGAACTGCTCACAAACTTTTAAAGTGGAGTTGAAGTATTCTGCAGGCAGATTTTTACAAACAAGCGGGCCTGTTCCGGGTTGCCAGTTCAGTGCATTAAAACCAGCCAGTGTCCCCCTGTTATTCAGTGTCACCATCAATTCTGACCACAGTCACAGAGAACAATGAAACCCCACTTTCATGGGAGCAAATGGCTTCTTTTTTTTTCTCTCTTTTCATCGCCCCAGTTCACAAATGAGACTTCAGCTCAGCTCGCCGACGGCCCGAGCTGCCGAGTAGAAATGTTGATAGATTTGCTCCAAAACGCAACTGCATTGTTTTCGTTCTCTTCTCATTGGTCACGCCAGCAAATCCAGTTAAAATGAAATTGCAGGGGGACGACAGATGGAAAAGAGAGAGTCCAAAAAAAAGAGAGAGAGAGAGAGAAAACGCAGAGAGACAGAGGAAGAATGAAAGCTTTTTACAGGCAGATAAATAAATAAGAGAACAACAGAAAGCTCATGTTCATGCTGTTTGCGCAATGATTATCAGCCCTCAGTTTGTTTGTGCATTATGGTTCTTTAATAACCTCATTTTTACTTCATATTGTGTTGATTGTTTTTCAACGCTCATGCCACATTTGGACTGAACTTTAGCAGCTAGCATGCTTTTTTTTTTTTTTGTAAATGCACAACAATGTATTCCTGTACCTTTAATTTCTGAACAGATTTAGGTCCTGGTCATGTTTGTTATCAGCGTGCAGTTACGCCAATGAGTGCTTTTCCTCTTTCAGATTGCATCCTTAAAATAGCGGAAGTATATTTGATTTCTTATGTTTCATTAATAATCTTGACACCCCTTGAGATGTAAACATTATAGAGAGCTGTCTCCCCCTCACCCCCTCCTCTCTAGAGATGCTCACTCAGGTCACCATGTGGTGGACTCTGAAGCTTCAGTGTTTATCCAGCTCTGCATGGGTCTGTAAACCTTTCTGTGTTCTAACCTCTCTCCATTTTTCAAAAAGCATCTCCAATATTGATCCTAGTTTGAGCACGTTTCTGCTCGTGGAGCTTATTAGAAACATGCAGAGGATTTTTAGGTCGGGTACAATCACTTCTATCTGAACCACTTCTCCTGACCGCTTCCATCGCTGCAACACCTGTTGACCTGATAACTGCTCTCATATCTGACAAACTGAGGGGCGTCCAAAACGGCCGTGTGGGGGTTCGCCTTAAGACCGCCTACCTTCTCTGGTCCAAACAAATCCAGAGCATTCAGGAGCAGAATCTAAAGTTAGAAGGAGGACATACTGGCTGCTGCATTGTTGTCAGAGAAGCCAGCACTTCAACATAGCATGTTTCCTTAATGTCTGATCATATAGTAAGCTCAATTTTTCATTTAAGTCAGTAGATATCTTACAGATTGCTCCTTTAATTTGCTACAGTTTCTCTGAGGGGAGCTGATAGCAAGCTTGAGTCAAGCTAGCTATTTTGTGACAGGCAGGAGTAAAAGAGAAAATATCCAAATGAATATCCAGCTGGCATGTTTTTATTCCTTCTCTTTACCTCATAAAGGTCCAAGGATTGTATTCCAAGTGTGTTACAAAAGGACTAAATAAAGTCTCCCTTCTCCTCTTTATGTTTTGAAAGACACTCTTTGTGAGCCAGCATCAACTCCACACTGAAAGCCAAATGCAGCTCTGCAGCTTTATTTTCTGCATGAACATCTCAGCACGGTGTCACAGTTTATCTTCCCCTAGTGAATACTCCCCAAGTTCAATTCATCGCCAAACCCCGAGGAGGAGAGGGATGAATAGAAGGAGAAAAGGTAGGGAAAATAGAAGCTGTGACACGGACACAAAAGACAGAAAGAGAGAGAGCCAGCGAGGAGGAAAAGGACTGAATAGAGATGAGACAGAAAAGGGAGGATGAAGAGGCAGAGGGAGAGTGAAGGTAAAAGAGAGAGAGGAGCGAGGTGTGGAGTGAGAGAATAAAAGGCCCTCTTGGGTCTCAATTAGCCGAGCGGAGGCATCGCGTGAAGACAGCTTGGGGTTGCAGGAGGGGTTAGCGGCTCCACGGTCATCTCTGCATCCTATTAGCCTCTCAAAAAAAAAACAACATGTCCAGTGTGCGTTCAGAGACGTCTGCGTTCGTTTGTATACTGCGGGTGAAGCGCTGCCGCCGGCCGACTGCTGGCACAGAAAAGAAAGAAAGCAGGGAGGGAAATGTAGCTTCTTTTTTTTCTCTCTCTCTCTGTTTGGGGCTTTTTTTTCAGTGGGGCCACATCCGCATGTTGGTGGCACCACGCCTTCCTCTCAGTTATCCTCCCTCTTTGAATGTCCTGATCCCAAACATGTGTACACGCCGCCGCTGCTGCTTTCTATCAACGCTGACGTCTTAAGTTCCTGTGTTTCAACTCAGGCCCTGCGGCTGCTGCACCGCAGCTACAGTCACAACCGTCTCTCTCTGTCTTTTTCACCCCGACCCGTCGGCACAGAGCGTTTTGTGTGCGGTGCGACATGTTCTCCAAGAGCTCGGCATGTTTAAACTGTGCGTACAATACAGCAGGAACAGCTTTCTAATATTGATGTTACAAGACTCTTCAGGCTGCCTGCTCTCCTGCTCTGAGCTGAAGTCAATTCAGCTTGTGAACACGGTGTATGATCAGAGATATCAGACTGTTTAACACAGATGCCTTTTTAAAGTCGAGTCACTTACACTTCTGGGAACTTTTGTTGCCTTTCTTGGACGGTTTTTACAGGAATAGATACGGGCTGATTGAGGGTTCAGTTTGCTTGGAGCCAACTTGTTGCTTATCTGCCTCTTTGATCGCTCAAGGTTTCACGATTTTGACGCAATGAATAAAACAGATGGGGTTAAATAAGTGAACATTTTCAGGCTCCACTCACAGGCCTTCATGGTCTTGTGTGCAGTTTACAGTAAAAGTAGAGTAGGGGGGAAATATGTTTAAAGGGTAGAACATAAAGAGGATAAAAGCTGCATACTGTTTGACTTTTGCAAAAGTGGCAAAAAGCTGCAAAATGTGGACATCTTTGGGTTTCTCACAATTCGATTTCTATCCTTGGGGTCGTGATTACATTCAGAATCTATTTTCGATTTCAAAATGATTCTGGATTCATTGATTCAAAGTCTATTTTTGAATGAGTACATACTTCAGGATCTCCTCCAGTCCTCTGTGAGACTGGATGAATTTCTTGCTGCTCCGTTTGGCTTTCTACTGAGTTAAAGAGCTAGCATTAGCACTTAACAGGTAGTGACTGAAGAGTTTTGGAAGTTATGAATCGATTTAAAATCTCAGAAGATAAGAATCTCAATTTTTACATAAAACGATTTTTTTTCACACCTCTAGTACCAATGTTCAACCGATGTGTCGATGCATCCCTAGTACATGTGAGTGATGAACTCCTGGATTGTCTAATTAGTTGAATAGTTGATCCTCAACTGCATATGTAAAGCCCTGCGTACCTCTCTACTTAGTGCTAAATATCAAGATATTAATGCAAGAATTTCCCTCCCTGAAAACGTTAAATTCTTGCTAAACAAATCCAAAGGTTATTACTCTGCTCTCAGTGTTGATTCTCCTCAACGTTCAGCTCATGTGACTCAACACCTCAGTGAATCAACAAACTCACCTCAAACCGCTCCCCTCTGTTCTTCTCCGTGTGCAGCGTACGTCTGGTTCGCCTGCAACTTTGACTTCTCGTCGTTCTGCGGCTGGACCAGAGGGACGGGGACGGGCGCCGAGTGGCTCATCCAGACCAACGGGGCCTCGACCGTGCACAGAGGGCCCACCCTGGACCACACAGGTACGCGCACCTTTGTGTTGTTGTTTTGTTTTTTTAAACCAGCACCTCTGGACTGAAGCTTTGCCAGAGCTCTCTGTGTGGCTCTCTTTGTTACTATGCAACTGTGGAGAAAGCCTGTCTGACCCTCTTGTGCTCGATGTGAGACTATTTTTAACCACAGTGAGCTTAAAATAACAAACGACAGTCTGTGCTGCTGCTGCTGCTGCTCCCGGGGAATCACAACAATCAACACAACAGTGGGTCCTTCTTTTCCTCACATGATATAATACGATGTCCTGTTGCACGCAAAACCCGACTCCTGCGTGGGAAAAGCAGATAAACACATGGAGAACATCTCAAATGTAGCGGTGGTGTTCTCAGACTGGAGCATGAAAACAGACCAAAGACAATGTCCAATAAAATATAATCAAAGATATAGATGTGATATCTGGGCCAGACACCACTGTAAAAACATATTTTGATTGAACTTTTAAACCGGACTGTGGGGGCTTTTAGGGTTTTTTAATAACATTTTAATTTGGTTTTATTAGTTTTTCATCTTTTTCTCCTGTGTTTTAATTTGCTGTTTCCTGATAGTCGGTGCTTTTCCACGAGGATGGAGGAACTTTAGATGTAATGTTGTCTTTGGATGAATGAATGGAAACTCTCAAGTGAACATCGTCTGGACTAAACTCGTCATTCTCAGCTGGTCGAGCCTCAGGAGTCACCAACACCTAAACCTTCTAAGAGAAAACCACGTCCCATATTTGTTTATTTTGACAGGGACAGTGTACAGCCAATAAGCTGAACCAGCGTTAGCTTCAATTCATTTAGCAGATGTTTTTATCCAAAGCGACGTACAACTCAAGCAAAGAGCTAGAAAGGAGGAAACAACGTCAGGAAGTGCAAACAAACAGCTTTAAGTCAGATTGGTGCACACAGGTGCTGACAGGAAGTGACCAGATGCAGAACATCAAACACCTTAGCTATGAGCTAATTTATACCTATAGTGCCAGGGCAGGAGACAGAGAAGACATCTCTGTTAGAAAGTTAAATCTGCAGAACTTTACATAACTAAGCCCTATGTACAGAGGTTGTAACTTCTTGTTGCAGCTGCCGTGGGTTCAAATCCGACCTCGATCCTTTGCTGCAGCCAGTCGAACTGTCCAAGGTTTAAAATGATCATACGCCACATACAACCCGCTGTTGATAAAGGCCAAATGAAAACCAGGAACTGACTGAATTTCTTGATGACCAGCACCATTTGACAGCTTGCCATGGTCAAGACTGGACAAGTTTCATTTGAAGTCAGATATATGTGTCAAACAGCTTCTTGGTGCAGGCCTCAGGTCAGACAGGCAGCACAATCTAAGAGCGTCTGGTAAACAACATGTGACAGGAAACACTAAATGTGCAAGAAAATCAACTTAGAGCCAAAATACAACCATAAAGGAAATGTCACAACGGTGGAAAACTGACACCCAACAAAAACGTTTTAAACCGGAAACATAGGTTACATAACTCCCTCAAACTCCTGCATTTCTGCCAGAAGATGCATCGATAACCACGTCTGTGTTCTGTCTACCTGCACAGAGCAGAACTCGTACACGCTTTGATCCCTCGAACATCGACTGGACTGAACGATCAGCCTTGAAAAACGAAGACTTTTGAAAAGGATGCAGCGCTCACATTTATCACTATCCCTCCGCTCTCCGTTCAAAACACCTCCTGTGATGGATGTTTCCGTGGAGACGGCAGCAGCAGCTCTGAAATGAATGGCTTCACCTTGATTTCTTGACTTAACCAGATCTCAAGTAAAAAATGAGCGCTTTTGTGATGTCGACTCCTGATAGAGTCCTTTGAAACCTTGTGAAGTCCTTGAATTTGTTGTTTTTTGTGTTTCCTGTGAGTGAAGATGACACACCTAGCAGGTCTTTACTTTATTAATGCAATAAATGTGATGCATAATAAACCCTTAATAATCCTTAGCACCTTTTATAGTCACATACGAGGTTCATATAAATACATTTTAAGTCAACATTTAGAGAGAAGAATGCTCTTTGGACTCTACTTTTTTAATTCTTTGGGGTCTCATTTTTAAATATTTGATCAAACACTTTGTTTAAAGAGTCAAACTATCCTCAAACATGCTCTCAGGAGTCCTTAAAAAACAGCCCACACCCTCTTCTTACCTTGTCCTTTGCTGCCCCCTGCAGGCGGACCAGGGAACTTCATCTACATGCAGCTGGGTGACACAGACATGCCGAGTAAAACCGGCGGCGACGAGGACGACGAGGACGAAAAGGTGGCGAGCCTGGCCAGCCTGCCCATCACGGCTCCGGACGCCGACCTGTGCATGTCCTTCTGGTACCACATGTTCGGGGAACACGCCGGAGCGCTGCACATCAAGCAGAGGAGGGAGGCGGAGGCGGGGCAGATCCTGTGGACGGTCAGCGGGCACCAGGGCAGCAGGTGGAGGGAGGGGAGAGTGTTACTGCCACACTCTAGTGTCTCATATCAGGTAAAACACACGTTACTTAAAAACTGACATCATCTATTATCCTGTGACTTTAGGATGTTTGAGTCTTTTTCTGTGTTTGTTTTTGTTCTTTTTTTAAGATAAAGATTCTCAAAATCAGCATTCTGGCTTTTTATTTCAGATAACTTATTGTATTAATATTTATTTTGGATAATGTCCCCAGTTGCGTGGATTTGCACTTGTACATTTAAGATCATTTTCTTGATCCTGATTGTATTTGAGAGCGCTCTGATTCCCTCTTCACTTACTTTGACTTCATCCCTGAGGCTGAACGGTTGAGCATGTTACATGTATTTTTTTTGATTTGCAGGTGGTGGTAGAAGGTGTTGCAGACAGACGGAGTGCGGGACACATAGCTGTGGACAACATCCAGATCCTGGATGGACTCGGTCCAGAGGAATGCAAAGGTCTGTGTTGTATTGTCAGATCACAATTTTTTACAAATTACACTTTGATATTAAAAAATGATACAAACTCAAATCTAAGCAAGTGTATTTGTCTAAAAACTTCTCATTGCACTTTTAATAATCCATGATTACCTAACAAGTCCTGATAAACAGCTTATTATGGATGTAAACAGGAACAGTAAGGCCTGGATCGCTTGCTATGAATAAGAAAAAATCCAACAATGGGGCTAAATATTTAACCTGTTGAGTTTTTTACTTATTTCAAGCATCTCAGGCCTTTTTTTTTACTTGTGATATCTCAAACTAAGATGTTTATCAGGACTTGTCAGGTAACTGTGGCTCATAAGAAGTGTAAATGTTTTTGACTGGAATTTAGAATTTGATTAAATCACAAATGAATGTTTTTTTTTAAAGGGATAGTTCAGTATTTTTGAAGTGATGTTGCATGCGGTACTTATGAATAGTGAGGGTATTAGTCTCAGGAGATGCTGCTCAGCGGGGCCCCTTTAAGAGGAGAACCGCTGCAGTGAGGCAATTCTGTACGACTAACTAGACAGTTTTCTAATTTTCTTTGTTAATATTTCTTCCACTTCCCTAACCGCCTCCTCTTAATGCTGGTCACTTTATTTTTGCATTAAGAACTGTCACTGTAATTTCATCTGATGGAACCAATTTCTTTCCCCCAAACAGATCCAGAGGCTCCCTCGTCTCCACCGACTGAGATCTTCATCCTACGTAAGAAACCTCTTCTGATGCAATCCTGTCATCGAAGTCTTAATATGTTTGTTGTGGTTGCGTGTACTGTCGATTTGTGTGGAAAATCCTCCTCAGACCGCCTCTTCCTCGACAGGGAAGTTGGCAACATTGCCTTAATTTGAGGTTTTTTTTAGATACACATTTAATATTATTGAGCTTAGACGTGTTGATAAAATGTGCCTGGCCCTTTAAGACTGTCATCGTCTCTTTCTCTCACAGCGATGGATTCCCTCCCTCTGGAGAACAGCGACCTCGGCGGCCCAGGAAACATGCTGAAGACCCTAGACCCCATCCTCATCACCATCATCGCCATGTCCGCGCTCGGCGTCTTCCTGGGCGCCATCTGCGGCGTGGTGCTGTACTGCGCCTGCTCACAGGGCAGCATGACGGACAGGAACTTATCCGCCCTGGAGAACTATAACTTTGAGCTGGTGGACGGCGTGAAGCTAAAGAAGGACAAGATGAACGGACAGACTAACTACTCAGAGGCGTGAGGGCAGTGGGGGGTGGGGGGCGGGACACACGGAGCAGCGACAACTCCGCATGGACTTGTGATGCAGCCAATCAAACGGGAGGGAACGCTGGGCTGAAGCCACCGATGGGACGGACGTCAGGGTGGGCTGAAAGTGAGCCAATGTCCATTTTTTTTCTCAGGAGCGGCAGTGGAAAAGACTGACCTGCAGGGGGCACTGTGTATAAAGAATCTGTACAGCAAAAAAAGAAGAAGAAGAAGAAAACTAAGGATTCTATTTGTTTTTCGGCGTGCTTTGTTGATTTCATGCTGGTGTTGAGACCAATTCAGATGAAAGTATCGTTTGTGAACTTTTACGGAAAGAAAAAAATCTGTTTATTTGTTTGTTTTTGTTGTTTCAGATGTCATAGTTTCATAGAGAGGTGGGGGGGGCGGAGTTTGTGAAAAGTCTGATATCTGGCTCTTTAGCAAGCCACGTGTTCCCTGTGAGTGTGTGTGTGGAAGTGTGTGCGTGAACATGTGTGTGTACAGGTGTCACATCCATATACATCTGCATTTAGGGTGTGTATGTATCACTGAGTCTGGCTGTAGGTGTGTGTGTGTGTGTGTGTGTGTGTGTGTGTGTGTGTGTGTGTGTGTGTGTGTGTGTGTGTGTGTGTGTGTGTGTGTGTGTGTGTGTGTGTGTGTGTGTGTGTGCGCACGTGCACGTTACACTTGTGTTTATGTGTGCAAGCATCTTACTTTGTGTGTTTGTTTGTGTGTATGTGTGTGTGTACGTGTATGTGTGTGTGTATGTGTGTGTATGTGTGTGTGTGTGTGTGTGAAGGCGGGTACCATCGTGACCTGTGTCTAGTTCCGACAGTGCCTTTTTTTTCTCCAACTTTTCTGTTGCCTTGTTTTCTGCTGGTTGTTTTTTCTCATCGGCTGGCGTCACGTTCAGGGTTCCTACACAAAAACCACGGAGAAAAGTCGGGGGGGGGGGGAATTAAATTCTGCACTTTTTTCCAGAAACTTTTTTAAGTGCATACTGTCAGATATCAGATGAGTTGGTTTGGAATCCATCTGAAGATCTTCACGCCTTGATGACAGTCGTACCGACTCTGATTTTAACCGTTGCAGTGAGCACGATTTTTGTGGAAAGCTCTGGAAAAAGTGATGGCATTTCAAAAAATGTGTAGTAGCCCTGAATGCCTCGTTTTCATGGCACATGACACATCCAACATATTGTACATAGGTTTTAATATATTTGAGCGCCCTTTTCTATATAGTAAAAAAAAACGAAAAACACCAGTGCCGCAGTATCCTTTCTGTGTTTGAATCAAACTCACTCCCAAACTACAAAGTCCAGAAAATCTGAGTTTTAACAAACAGACGACGACCACGTTTGTGCTGCTTTTACGTGTGATCTTGTTGCTATTTTTTGTCCGTTTTGTTGTTGTTGTTGTTGTTGTTGTTTGGTTTTCTGGTTGTGCTCCGCGAAAGAGAAAGGATATCGGCTTTATGGCATTATGGAGAAATGCCTCATGGGAAGTGAAGTTTTTTTTTGTTGTACAGGGTAAAACAGACGACCTCAGCAGCAGCAGCAGCAGCAGCTCAGAAGATATGTGACAGGATGGATCATCAGGAAATATTTTCACGAGAAGGCGGCAAACGTTTTCCCCACTGGCACACATGAGACGACTGTGAAACTTTGAAGCTTAAAAGTGTGTCCAGCGGTCAGTGTGAAGGACTTCAGGTGTCAGGAAGGCTTCACCTGTCTTCTCTTTGGACCCGCGACGGAGCGGACCGGGGAGTGGAAGCTCTTGATTTGAAGACTTGAGGACAATGCTGTACTCTCCGTCAGTGTTTGTCATGTTTTGACTATCAGGAGAAATCTTTGAAGGATGTTTTTTTTTTTAATTGAGAAAAATGACGATCTTTCTGTACAATTATGGCCTCACATGTTGTTTTCCCTGAAGCTAACGTGCTAATTTGCTAATCAAAAGAAAGAGACACAAGGAAGGCTCATTGTGCTATTCTTTGTACTTTTAAATAACTAAATATTGGCTGTGGGAAAAGGTTTATTTGTATGTTTTTGGGTTTCTGCTGCTTTTTATCCCAATTTGAAACATCGCTATTACATCCTGGAGCTTTTCCTCACCTGCAGACTTCACAAGAGGAGCCTTATTCCTAAACATCAGTGCACACTTACATCAGAACCATCCTTAACTTTTTAACACAAAATGCAGGATGAAAATTAGATGAACCGGTTAGCTTCCTTCTAAAAGTAAATATTGGTATTTGTGGCTATGTGTGTTGTGATTCTGCTCACTTGTTTTTCACTCTGAGAAGGCTGGAGGAGTCAGACATTTCACCCACAGCACTCTGGTTGAATCAACAAAGAAAGCTGTTGTTATCTAACTGGCTGTTTCTTAATGAGGGTTGAAACAGAGCGAGCTTTCAAAGATTGAAACTACAAAATTCCTCCCACTGCTCTTGCTCTGCATCACCATTGGAGAGAGAAACAAGCAAAGTGTGTGAATGTGAAACATGTTTCGGTTCTTCTGGAAATTTGTCAAGTGTGCATTCAAAAAAAAATCCACCACCTTGATCTTATGGTCTGATAATGCTGAAAGTTTCTCCCATTATAGCCTCCTGCATCCTGTTGCAGTTTGATGTAGCATTATGTGGTATCATGTGAGCTTAAAATGTGAGGTTAGTCTCTTTGTCAATAAAGCATCAAGATAGCCTAGCGGTTATGTCGCGCGCCTCATGTTCTGAGATTTTAGTCCTCATCGCAGTAGTCGTGGGTTGGAATCCTGCTTTGGCCCTTTGCTGCCAGTCATCCCCAAGCGGCAACCCCTCGGTGTTAAAAAATGAAGCCAGTGCGGAAGTGTAAAATCCTGCAGTTCATCGAGTGACCACTTGAGGCTGGCTGCAGAAGTCACAAACACACCACATTTAAAAAAGTCAGTTTTACAGTTTTTACAGCAGAAATTTAAATGTTTACAGCCTGGATCAAAAAACAAAATAGGTCTGCTCGTGTCTCAAATCGCAAATGTACCTTCTTGTAAACACACCGTACGTGTTTTGATAACTCACCCGTTTTGATTCACAATAAGGAGCAAAGTTCACCTGATTGACAAGAGGCTTAAGACCCGCCTCAGCTCCAGCTCTCAGCCTGTCGTTAGGTTGACTGACAGTTAGGCTGTGACAGGATTTCCAGCATGGAGACCACCATCTATGTGACTCCAAAGCCCCCTGCAGTAACAGACAGGTGACGTCGCTCAGGCTTCGTCCATTAATATTTACAGTCTATGCTCATCCCCCACTCTCTCCTACTGTCTCTCTTCAGCTTCAATCCCGTAAAGGCAAAAAAGACCCAAAAAAAACATCATCTTTCAATTAGTTCTTTTGTTTTTAGATTATTTTATTTTGGAAGGAAAAGGCCGCTCTAGAGTCTGTTTTGTATGAAATTAAATCATTATCCTGTTCCCGTTACAACTTAAAGAATATTTCCATTCAAATCAGAGTGCTCTGACTGTTGAGATGTTCGTTACAAGCTGTTAGAAATCACTCTGGTTTAACTCTTTATTTGTTCTGTTGACGATTATCAAAGTAAAGAACCTGGATGAGATCATTGGTATCAAAGTGTAACTTCAGTCTGACTCAACGTGTTTGGAATATTTCAGAAAACAGACATGAAAGGATGCTGCAGCACTCGATGTGAAAACAAATGTTGCACTGATATATTTAAAGAATCTGTGTTTATGATGTTGATTTATGAAAAGAGAGGAAGAAGAAGGCGAGGAGGAGGAGGACAGTGTTGTTGCTTCTTTTTGAACACTTTCAGATGACAATGCTTTTATTCTGAAAAATACATTTTACAGAGATGTTTTTTGTCAATCTCCAGAAAGCTTATATGCGTCTCTTTTGAAGCGTAACAGTTTTATTTACTTGGTATAATATCACCTCGTGTTTTTTCTGTCACTGATGTATGTGCCATTGATTTGTTTTTCTTTTCTTTTCTTTGTATGACGAGAAAAAAAAGTTTTATTTTCAGTACTGCTTCTGTAATGTTTTGCCGTCTCAGATCAAGAAAAAAATGGAGAAAGGAAATAAGAAAGTTTAAAACAAAAACAAAAAACACACACAATGGAAAAGCAGTGAGGCCTTAAGTGACTAAAAGTATTGTTTGTACTTTGACTTTCTGGTCAGCACCCAGACTCATCCGTCTCTGTTGTCTCAGACTCTGATCATTGACTATTACATTCCAAAGAATTGGATCAAATAAATGTTTTAAGTAAACGCTGCTCGACTGCTTGATTTCCTTCCTGAGTATTTGAATGTGTTTATTCAGTAGTTTCAATACAAAGCATGAAGCTGATGTGCTGCACAGAGAGTAAAAAGCTAGTTTCCACCTCTTATCCCTTATCCACAGAAGAACATTGCAGGGGATTTTGGCACATTTTTCTAGGGTGCTACCCTCACGTTTAGCTGTGTTGCACATTCCACAAATGCAAGATCCTAACAAGTTCTACCTCGTTGTAAAGGTGACTAATCAGGCTTTCCAACGATATAAAATACACACCAATTAGCTTTATTAAAGGGGCTAAAAAAAGTGAGCTAAATAATGTTTCCAAACTTTTTTTGAGGAGTTTATATACGAGTGTGAGGACCCTGCAACCGGGCCACTCACTGAGTCTTCGGCCTGCTGATGCTGTTGTCTGTGTGTGTGTGTGTGTGTGTGTGTGTGTGTGTGTGTGTGTGTGTGTGTGTGTGTGTGTGTGTGTGTGTGTGTGTGTGTGTGTGTGTGTGTGTGTGTGTGTGTGTGTGTGTGTGTGTGTGTGTGTGTGTGCGCTTGAGGAATCGACATCCTCAGCCTGGGTTAAGATGCAAAAAAAATAATAAAAGGAAAATATGATGAGATTATGACATATATTACAGTATGTCTGAGGAATGCTCTCGATGTGCTTTTATTACTGACTGCATGCAGTGTCGTGCTTTAACCACAGGGTGGCAGTATTGCCTCTTGAAGCGTGTCTTAACGCAGCAGCATTAAATACTTCACACTCATCATAGAAACATTTCATCTTAACATTCAGCCCAGCTCAGCTCGGCCGCAGTCTGAACTTCTCATGGGAACTTGAGTCACGTGACTTTGCTTTAGAAGAGGTTCCCCTGTCCAAACGCTCACCACTGTACCGCTTTCCCTTACCCTGCTGGCTTCAGAGTCTGCACTTCTGCTTATTTGGTGTTTCCTTTCAGTCTAAATCTTTACACAGCATGTGGTAAAAACAATGTAGTATACTTCAGTGCTGCTGTGCATTCAAAGAAATTTCACCACCATGATCTTATGGTCTGATAATGCTGAAAGTTTCTCCCATTATAGCCTCCTGCATCCTGTTGCAGTTTGATGTAGCATTATGTGGTATCATGTGAGCTTAAAATGTGAGGTTAGTCTCTTTGTCAATAAAGCATCAAGATAGCCTAGCGGTTATGTCGCGCGCCTCATGTTCTGAGATTTTAGTCCTCATCGCAGTAGTCGTGGGTTGGAATCCTGCTTTGGCCCTTTGCTGCCAGTCATCCCCAAGCCGCAACCCCTCGGTGTTAAAAAATGAAGCCAGTGCGGAAGTGTAAAATCCTGCAGTTCATCGAGTGTCCACTTGAGGCTGGCTGCAGAAGTCACAAACACACCACATTCAAAAAGCTCAGTTTTACAGTTTTTGGCTCGACCGCAGTCTGAACTTCTCATGGGAACTTGAGTCACGTGATTTGCTTTAGAAGAGGTTCCCCTGCCCAAACGCTCACCACTGTACCGCTTTCCCTTACCCTGCTGGCTTCAGAGTCTGCACTTCTGCTTATTTGGTGTTTCATTTCAGTCTAAATCTTTACACAGCATGTGGTAAAAACAATGTAGTATACTTCAGTGCTGCTGTGATCAGCCATGTGGAAGTAAGAGCACCTACAAGCAGTGAAGTTACCACATTGTTTTTGTACTTGTTTAGACTTGATCAGAGTTAAGAGGGATAACATTACAATGCATATCAGATAAACAGATTTCTTGTTATCCCTCTGATGTGAGCTGAAAACAGTGCCCCCCCCCAAACTTTTTCTGCAGAGCCCTCACAAAAAATGTTGAGCCTCCCAACCCCTCACCATATACATCGACTCATATCCTTACATCCACATCCACTAAAACACACTACGAGACAGTCCTTTGCTTACAAATTATAATGTCTTTAGAGGTTATTTTAAACATCATCTGTAAAAAAAAAACAGTGTTTTGTGTCAACTAAAGAAATAACAAGCCACTTTTACAGAGGAAGCTTTGCAACATGCAACATGCTCCATTTTTAGCTGAAAGTTGATCAACACCCTGGGAATGAACAACTTAAGAAAATGTCCTATGTAATATCTACACCTCTATTTCTGCAATCTTTTCAAAGGCCAGCTTGGTCTGTATTTATTTTTAACTGAGGCAATTGAAGAAAAATGTATCTCACGGAGGTAAGCAGTGTGGTGTGTTTGTTTTTGTTATTTCTTTTAAGGATAAAAATGACCTTTAAAGATTCTCAAAATCAGCATTTGTGGCTTTTTATTTCAGATGATTTCTTGCATTACTATTTATTTTGGATAATGTCCCCAATTGTGGGGATTTGCACTTCTGCATTTAAGATCTTTTCTTGATCCTGATTTGTGTGGTGCGAGTAGCTATAGTGTACGTTTTCTTTGGGATACTTAATAAATGGCCAGCTGAGCACAGATGCAACGTTGGTAAAGTCACTCTGTTGGGCACAACAATTAAAAACGGGCTCCTTCTTGTGTGCGGATGTAACGTCTCTGGGCTTTATGTTGTCAAGAGATGACACACACATGATGTTCAATCTTCTGTTCTTCTCTTTAACGGCCTTTATACAGGTGAGGCCAAGGGTGAGATTTGTGTGGTCATATTTTCTCGTCTTTAAAAAGCAGTCCTTGAGCAGAGTTGTCTGTTTACTGTGGGCATTGTTTTTATTTAGCCTAGCTGTTCCCCTCATCATAACTCAGGGACTTCCTGAGGGGTCGCGCCCTCCAGTTTGGAAATCACTGCATTAAAAGACTCACTCTGCATTCTGGATCAGATGGTCAGAGGTGGGCGTCAGGATGGTTGAGCAGTGATGTAAAGACGTGTAAAGGAGACGGTGACTTGACAGTGACCGCCATATGAACAACTGGCAGCACCAGCTGCTTTACTCATCATCACACATTTCCCTGTGATTAAACAGGCTAAATGTGGCTTCAGGAGCCTCTTAGGTCTTTAAATGTTTGGTTCCCCATGTGGGTCCTTCACTGGGTTCCAGGAGGTGGGCAGACTTTATTTTTATTCCATCTATAAGTAAGACGATAACAGAAATTGAATCTTGAGATATTGTGTTTTATACACTTCTGTGGTTAAAGTCTTTATATGTGATTTTTCACACTTAAATATAATATGAATCAAGTTCACTGTCTGTGATGTTTTTCCGAGTCCTATCTTCAGTTTGTTTACATCGTCGGGACGGCCGGCTGACTCCTCCCCTCGCGTATAAAAGTTGTTTAATTGAGGGACTAGAGAAAAGAAGAATAACATACTGTACTCACTGCTTAACTGTGTTTCTAGATCACGCTCATTTCAGGTAAATTTACATGCAGTGTGAAGATACCAGCATAATAAAGATCGCTAGCATTAGCATGCTAACACAACAATGCAGCGCGAGTTGTTTTGGTTTCATGCTGGTGCTCAAGGGCGACATCTGCTGGATCAAAAAATCACATATAAAGCCTTTAAAACATCTCCAATAAATAAAATACCACAAGAAAGAACCATTTGACACCTTTGAAGCTCCCCTTTGTGTCTGTTAATAAGCGTCAGATCTTGTTTTTTTATTTGAATGTTGCTGTTCTTACACAGGAAAAGGGGAGCTGACACCTTAACAATATGAAACCAAATTTAACATGAGAGATGTTTGCACAGGAAGTGAAGGTGCTGCTACTAACCTCGCTTCTGAAACACACCACAGATAGACATGTGGTTGTTTACCTGAAGCAGTTTGGTAAAATGAACTCAGGTAAGATGTTCAGGCACTTTGTTTGTGTTTTAATGTTATAGCCAACTTTTCACTTTAATTCCACAACATTTTATAGGAAAATATTGAAATGAAAGAGTTTAAGTAAACTTGTTTCTTTTGCAGAAGTGAGCATATTTAAAAGAGAGGGTGGAGCTGGAGCAGAGAGGTAGCAAAAGTTAAGGTTTTAGCTTTAGCGTATAGTTACCATTGCACCAACCTAGTTAACTGTGACCTTAATTGTGATGCAAATTTTGGTCAGCAAAAATCATGACTGGCGAGCGAGTGTGACGCACTTTGATTGTTGAGAACGAGCAGGGAGACAGAGAGGCGTGTGATTGGTTCATCCGATTGGTACCTCGTGGCAGACATTGGTCAAAGTTTTTACAGGTTTACAAACTGCTACAGATGACAGATTTTCTCCGTTCCTGTTTCAGAGAACATGAGTTAGGCTAGTAATTTCTGTCAGGAGCTAAATACAATTTCAACCAAAATCTTAAAATTTGTATCTGGAGAAGATTACCAACTCTGCATTTAACAGGTCGCCTATTCAAATTGGCTATATCGAAACAATCAATCCTATCAGTTATGGTCTTGTTCTGTTTTGTAGCTCATCTAGAGTCAGTATTGTTAAATTCAGTCCATTAAGTATCTGTACTGTTTGTTTCTATTTGTCTGTATCTGCCTAGCCCATGCTAATCTAATGTTCTGTAAATGTGTTTGTCTTGAGGTGTCATAACTGTGGTTTATGTTTCATGTTCTGCAGGAAACCAGTTTTTTTTAATCTGAGTCAGGCCCTTTAAACTGTAACTTAATGTTACTTTTAAACTTTCCTGTATAATAAATTAAATGAATTTCATATCCAGCTGAAACAAATCCTCACAGGAGCTGTGTAAACTTCATTTAAATCCCGTAGTTTGTAGATATATTAACACATTTTAGGACACAGATGTGGCTCTATATTAACCTATGTGGAGCCTTTAATGTGTGCAAGGTGTGGATGTGAATTGGGACTATTCATCACCTCCGAGGTCAGGACGGGTTCACTGTTTCCCCACCACACACCCTCCGTCGGTGTGTCTGTTCCTTTGACCTCAACGTGCCGCTCCTTCCTGTGTGGGCGGGGCCTAAATAAGAAGAAGAAGAAGAAGAGGAGGTTTGTTGAACTGGGCTGGGGCATTAAAAAAAAAAAAGAGAGCCGCGGTTGTAACGTGTTCAGACGGAGCCACAGGACTCCTCGCTTCTTACTTAGTGTTAAATTTAAGATTAAATGTCGGTATTGAAAAGGTAACGGTAACTCGACGCAGTGAAAAAACGTGACGTAATCGTCCAGAAAGCTGAAACAAAGCGGGCCCTAGTTACAGCTCGAGCTCGCCTTGGCAACCATTTCTTTTTGCTCTCAAGAGGAGACTTTGTGGGGACCAATGTTACTCTGAAACAACAGAAACGACAGTATAACATCACATTAAGGTAAGTTGTTATCATATTAAACCGCGTTTGTCAATATTTACTAGCGTTTTTAAGGTTAAAAAAAAAAAAAGCGACTGGAAACACTTAAAAGACAAAAGAGGGCAGAAGCGAGGAATGCTTCAGGGGGTAAAACTTTGGGTGTGGATTAACGAGAAGCTTAAGAGAGTTTTTTATTTGAGTTTCTTAGATTCAAACACTGTTCTTCAGACCCATTAAAAACAACGTCGTGACATTTTGGATAAAAGTTTTACCTATAGGCTACCTGTTGTGTGTCCCTTAAAGAATCCTAAACTTGGCTTTTCACAGAAAGTAGGCCAGTGAGTCTCATTGTGTGTGTGTGTGTGTGTGGGCTTCATGGAGGGTTAAAGCGTGGGAAGAAAGAGTGATTTATAAAGTAAAACTCAAGTCTAAGCAATCACAGATGCTTTTACTTATTCTTAAAACTATGAAGGGGGATTAGGGCCAGGCATGAGGAATAATTAATGAGAGGAGGAAGACTTTTTTTTTTTTGGTTATTATGTACTTTGGTCGATTGAAGTCGAATAGTTGAACATAAAGTCGAATAGTCGAACATCAAGTCGAATAGTCGAACATAAAGTCGAATAGTTGAACATAAAGTCGAATAGTCGAACATAAAGTCGAATAGTCGAACATCAAGTCGAAATATCTAGAATAGTGTTGAAACTAATAACAATCAAATTTAAAGTTGAAATGTTGAGAGAAAAAGGTTCAAAAGATGACAAAACATTTATAATAACATTTCAGTAATGAATAGAATAGATGTTTATTGCCATTTGCACAGGTACAGGACAGTACAGGTACATTGGAATTATTGTGCGTTTCTCCCCGAGTCAGCTTCTACACAAAAAAGTTAAAATTATATATAAAATAGAATAACATTATAAGAAAAAAAGAGTAGAAAAGTACAAAAAAATAAACAAGTTGTCGTAACAGTTAAGTGATTTAAAATAAACTGTACAGAAGTTATAACTGTATTAAAGCAAAGGTATAATACAAAAAAATAACAAAGGGGAACGCTGTACAATGAAATGAAAACATAAATGTTTTCTTGTCTCTAACTTTCTACATCTCTTATTGCACCTGAGGTTATTGCACACATATTTTTCACAATCAACGTGTGAATAAAGTCGACATTTTGTCAGATTGTTGAGAATAAAATTGAAAGTATAGCATTGTAATGAAGAGAGAAAAAAGTTGACATTTCAAAAAGCTAAGATTCAATTTGGAAAATAAAGTAAAAAAAATGTCAAGAAAAAAGTTTGACAACACAATTTCGAGAATGATGTTGTTAACTATCAAACTATTCACCTATTACTTGAATAATATAGTCACCAGTTTGAATATATTTCTTAAGGATACCTATACTTTAAACTATCTGATTCCAACTTGTGAAATGTGAACATTGTTCTGGTATCTTCCTACTTTATGACAGTAAACCGAATGACTCTGTTTAGTCCCTTTAAGAAAAAAGGGGCACTTTGTGATCCTCTTTCCTCTGAAATAATGACTGATGCCTTCAAAATCATTAATCAGATTATTTTCTATTTCCTGGAAAGTCAAGATTGCATTTCAAAACCATTTGGTCTTCTTTAGAAACGATGTTTAAATCACTTGGGTCCATTTGTCCAACCAGACATTTCTCAATTTGTCAGAAACTTTCTTCAACATTTGTACAGGTACAGAGAAGTGTTTGATACTTCTTGGTTGTTTTACCCTGGAGCAATACTTTCAAGTCTTTGCAAGAGCATGCTGGCTCGAGACGTCACTTGTCAATAAATCCTTGGAACAGGCACTCCTTGGTGTGTGGATCTTGTTTGCTTCTTTATACCCTTGAGCGAAATGTACATGGAGAAGAAAACAAAAATTTATGTGAAGTATGACTTGTGAGGAACAAACCTCAGCTGGACCCCAGTCTGGTCAAACTTTACTCTGGACTGTATAAACTGTGGTTGAGGATACAGTAAGACCAAGACATGTTAAACCCCGGCCATATTGGTTAACCAGAATCTCTTGTCAAGCCTTGTCCTTGGCTCTGAGTCAGGACTGTTGACAGTGCAGTATGCAAGCTTGACAAGACCTGTCCAGTCTGCCTCATTCACTTCCTGTAAAGGAATTGTAGCCTGAGGAGGAGTTTTTTTTTCCTCTGTGATGAGCCAGAGTTTTCTGCAAGGCCTACTTTGGTAAGATGGGAATGAAACTCCATGGGTTGATTACTAGCCTGTCTTGTCTTACTGTTAGCATCATAATGACATAGCAACAGCATGTGTGCGTGGTGCTAAAACACATACGTCTTTGATCTGGTACAGTTTGTACAGACCTCATGGATGCATATAATATACACCAGGCCTGGTAATTGTAGACATGAGGAGAGACGTGTCTGTAGACTGTCGACGACTCCCTGTAGCTCACTGAGTCACTTCCCTTAGTTACATTGTTGTGATGTTTAGACAGAGTGTGAGCCGAGCTCGGCTAGCAGCTAGGAGTGTCCGGGGCAGTTTGAAGGGACATTCTGCATTACTCAACAGAAGGCCTTCACCTCGACTTGTCAGATATGAGTCATGGATGAGGGGCCTTCCGGTTATGGCTGGATGAGGCATGTGGGAAGGGGATGTTTGAGGATATATGATCATGGTTCAAACATGATCCCTTTATGCTCACATCTCTTGCATCCAGTCCTGAATCTGTGATAAAAAGTTGGAAGTTTGGACAGCAGGGACATGAAATATATCAAATTGCTCCTGAAGAGCAACCAAAAACCACACAAAATCAACAGATTAAAGTACATATATGCCAGAATATTACTTACACTTCAATAAATCTATTTATTTATTTTACTTAATGTAACATTGTGATGAACCAGCATGATATTTAAGTACCGCAGCAGCAGAAATGCCCTGACTTATAAGTCTGGCTTTGCATTTGTAAATCAATCATGTTTGCTCGGTCAACACCCCAAAAAGGTCACATTATCAGGATGTGAAAAAGCAGAATTGCCTTAACGATTTTACCTTTCTTTTCAAACGTGAATGATATCACAATTTAAAATTATGTCAAATAACCTCCATTTGATTGAATTTCCATATTGTGCAGCTCTTGAACCATTACTAAAAGTAGACGCAAGTAAATAGTATGTTGCAAAAAAATTAACTGTAAATCTAAACTGCAAACCTGCAAAAACCACCATTGAATGATTGGAGATAAATTGCTGCAGCTTTTCAAGTAAATGGAAACTATTCGAGACACTCATGGTTCAGAAAACTTCTACATTTTTGGATGTTTTAAATCATCATCATCACTGATTAAAGCCATACGGTAAAATATTTTCCAAACAATTTAATTTCCAAGCTGTTGCAAAAGGGATCCAAGCTTATTAAGTCAGACAATGTTATATGAGAAAAAGTTTCCTGGCTGTAAAAGAAAAAAGAAAAGATGGGGAGAAGCCCAGGCCTCATCTCAGAAGTGGACTTTAGGGGTTTCAACAAGTTCTGAGATCCGAAATAGTATCATACTCGCTCTACATCAAGCTGACACGGTGAACTCTGCGTTCATGTTGGAATGAGGTGGAAAAAGCACAATTTTTTTTCAATGACACAGTATGGAGCGAGTTAAGAAGGAATGCATTATCTCATCTCTCCTGGGAGGGTTGCGAGAACGGGATCTCCTCCATGTGACAGAAAAAACCCAAACAGCTCTTGCAGATCTGTGTGATTCCCAACCCTTTTTTCCATGGAGCCCCCCCCCCTACTTGATTCTAAGAAAAGCTGGGACCCCCAGGACCAAAATCAAGAAAAAAAGATCTGTGGCTGACAAATGAAAATCAATTTGACTAGTTTTCATTTGATTAAAAAAAAAAAAGAGCAGCCCTGGCCTTTACTCGTGTCAAAAGTATGACAAACATGTCAGAAATGTCACCATGTACTTCAGTATTCTTCCCACTGAAAGGTTCAGCCAGATGGATTTCACCCGTCACTTTATATTTAGAAGGTTTGAAAGGTGGGAGTCTATGTTGTTAATAAAAAATAATTAATGAATCACCTTTAGAAATGTTTTCGTTGAGGTTATATTATCTGACAGAATGTAAAACATGTTTTTCCTCCCCCTGCCTCTGTCAAACTATTCCACTATATCAGTTAGTTAAAGTAATTGGTGACTTTTAACTAGTTCGACATTACATCTGCGGTATTTTATTGAACCAAACCAGCCAAACACATCATTGGAGGAAAAGGTCAATAACCATCCCTCATAATACTTTTTCCACCATTTTTATAGTCAGCTGGATGTCAGCTGGTCAAAAAGTAAACATCAGCTTGCACACATTCCTTTTCTGTCGCCTTGTCTGAAGAAACAGGCTTCACCTGTTGATACTCATCTAGTCTGACAGCACTTTTTAGTTCTGCATAAAGCTCCATGGCAGAAGTTGGCTCGATAAAGTAGGTGTTCATGTGTGTAGGTTTGGTTTCCTTCAAACATGCTGTGTTTAAACTGAAAGGCAAGGAGTTCTTCCTGATCTTTCAACGGCCTGTTAGAGGGGTAAAGTTGTGCCTGGGTGTGGTTTAATTAAGGAAATGGAAACAGGGTCCTGCTGAGTTGTTTAGGGACCTAATGGACTGAAAGTGGACTGTGACTTCCAGCAGCAGGTGGGGGCTGTCTGGCCGGCCGGGTGGCAAAAAGAGCTCTAGGGGGGTGGGCACCAAACTCATTTTGTGGACTACCAGATGACCCACCCAGTGTGAACAATGCTGACTTGTGTTGAATGCTACCTAGTTGTTCCAGGGATAATTCTTTTTACTCCATTGGGATGCATTATTTTGCAGGCTTTAGACACTGAAAAATTGCCAAAAATGTCATGTCCTTTTGATGTTGATTTTGTTCATCCGAGAGATCTACACCATCTGGGATCATTAATTAATAACGAAGTCTGCACGCAATCTCACTCAAACGCACACTCACACTTACAGAGAGGTGCTGAGGTAGACTAC